TTGCCATCCAGGTATCATCCTTTGGGACAGAATGTAGGCGAGCTTTTTATAGAGACAAAATATTCATAGGTCAGGTGTTCATAACCCAGAGAATTCCTGTATGTACTTTATGTAGCCAAGATGGTTATACTTAGTATATTTTATTCTTAGCTTTCCCAGATTCAAGCATGCCGGCATATTCTTCTAGGTAACTTTCAGTCACCCATCTTCATGACTGGAAAAGCTGAAAACATCCCCCTTTGGGGGGATGTTCAACTATCTTGCAGTTGACTTTATAGATTTAGTGGTCAGTTGTTCAACAAGACTTTTTAAAAAAATTTATCACTCTTATTTATAACATAAATGTTGGTATTTTGGATTCTTCAAGTTATTGTATTTCCTTTCTGCTCTTAAACAGAAGCTCATTTTTTTGTTCTGTTTCCTTTTCCAGAAGAGGCCAAGTTCCTGGTAATAGCTGCCAAATATAGTTTAAGGATCTTAGTTGAGCAATAACATGACTGTATTCCGTGTCAATTTTCTTGACCTATAGATTGGCTTCAGTAAGCCAAAAGAGGATAATCATTACAAACTAAAAGCTCATCTTTGGTAGAAAACCTCTGCTTCTTAAATAATCTCCTCATTAATTAATGCAGTCAGTCCCCCAGCTACCTGATTCCAGAGGGCAGGTGCCTTATTAAAAGACTGGTTAAGTGTACGTAAAATCTAGGCATGATAGCTAGCAAAGAAAAGAATATTGATACTGGTGAGTGTTTGACAAAGTTGCCCCTCACCTATGTTTGATCAGCCTCCATACTGTAAAAGATGGTCTTTTGTAGTGAAAGAGGAAACGGCTTCTACAGGGAATTATTGTGGTTCCATATTCTAAAGCATGAGTCACGGATGTCTTTATGATTACACATCCCTTCTAGCATATGAGGAATTAACTTTAGAGAAAAGGAAGTTAAGAGAAAACAGAAGTGTGAATAACTGCTAATGGTGCTCTCTCTGGCTCCATTCCGTCTGCCATTTCATCATACATAAAGGGGGTAGTTCAGAGATTCCTTTCCTGGCAAATAAGTGGCAACATATGTTTGAAACAGTGAATGGAAACTGTAGGGAGAGAATGACAGGCATATGGCATTAGGAAGGCAGGGGAAATTTGTTGCCTTAATGTTAGCCACATAATTGGTATACTCTTCCAGAAGGGGCTGTTTTACTTTGAAAAGTCTGTGTGCCCTGTTAGTACAGCATTTCTGTGTGTGGAATATATAATTTTCTATTTTTCTTTTTCTTTTCATGAATGGCAGTCACATTAAGCTATTGCAGCTACATACAGAGATTTGAGAGGTAGTCAAAAAGGAAAGAGAACCTAAACAGAAATTACAATTTTTTAGGACCCCTTATGTTTTTTTAGGACCTCTTATTATAAAGTTGTAAATATAGAGAGTGGAAAGCACTGAAGAACAATTACTTTGAAGGGCTGAAAACAGGTATGGGTTCCAAATTACTGTCTTCAGGTATGCTTTTTGAGGGATAATTACGCAATGATAATCTTTGTGATTTGTTGCCATAGTAACTAAATATTTGCTCAGTAGTTTGCAATTCCTGAGGCTACCTGAAAGGGCAAGAGTCTATGTTTTGAGGGACCTCCCTGGTGGCTCAAGTCTCAGAACTGTGAAGCTATAGGCAGCCACTTCAGCACAAATTCAATCTCCTGCCAGGGAGCTGACCCACATGGTGAAGCAGACCTGTCTCACCTGCTTCTCCCCTCAGTGGTGTATTTCAGTGGTTCTATTGTTCTGCTCCCCACTCTGTGTCTAGTGAATCCTCTGTACCTCTGGCCTACACCCCAGTTCTACACAATAAAAATAAATAAATCTTTAAAAAGGAATTTGGTGTTTTGTTCTGCAAACTATGGATCAGTATTTACCTTTTGGTGTTTTGGTTTTTTTTTTTGTAAGATTTATTTATGCTTACAGAACTGGGGTACAAGCCAGAGGTGCAGGAGAGGTGAGAGGATTCATCAGAGACGGAACGGGGAGCAGAGTAGGGCGAGTGACAAAAGTACACTGCTGAGGGGAGCAGCAGGTGGGTCAGGAGAGGTCTGCCACGCCATGAGGATCACCTCCAGGGCTGGGGCTTACAGTGCTGCACCCTAACCCCTTGCTCCACCAGGGAGGGCCTGTATTTACAATTATTTACCTTAACATTTTTTTTTCTTTAAAACGTCAGTGTATACAAAGGGATCTGATATCCATTTCCAATTATTAATCATACAGGGCTAATGGGAAATGTATGTTAAGTCTCTCAAACTTTTATTTCGGCCTAATGTTACATTGGATAAAAGTACTAGAGAGAGAGAGAGAGAGAGAAACATAATTTCATTTTCAGAAGATTTTTCAGCTACATTTACCAAAAAAGAATATTATCAACCTTTATGTTTATAAGATTTAATTAGTTGCTTAACAGGACTTAAGTTCAGGTTGTAGGGAACAAATCAGTTGGTTTTTTTTATTAGTAATTTGGGCCTTGGCAATGAATAATATTAACATGAACAAAGGATTTACTAATATGTATGTATATGTAAATATGATTTAAACACATGTCAGTGTTATAAAACCTAACTTCTGTACCGTCCACCAATCTCTTGCTTTTTTATTGACACAGTAGGCATGATGATCTCATGGCTTAAAATAGATACCTAAGAAGGTAATCTAAGCAATTTTATATGGCCCACAAGCTAATAATGGTTTTTATGTTTTAAACAGTTGGAAAATACCAAGAGAAAAATATTCCACAATGTGTGAACATCATATGAAATCCAACTTTTAGTACCCATAAAGTCTTACTAGAATACAACTGCAGCCATTTGTTTATATATTATCTGTAGCTACTTTCCTGTTAAGCAGCACAGTTGTGTGATTGCTGTAACAAATACATCTGGCCCTCAGCTTAAATTATTTACTACCTGGCTCTTTATAGAATGTTTGCTGCTGGCTTCTATTCTGTAGTTTGGCAATAAATTATTGTTCAAACAAAGCAAAGCCTTTCCTGGGTGGCACATGGGGTTAAAGTGCAGCACTTTGAAATTATCTGTAGCACAAGTTCAATCCCTGGCCAAGGATGTGACTCACAGGGCGCAGCAGACCTCTCCTCACCCGCCCGCTGCTCCCCTCAACAGTGTACTTCCTCTATCTGCCCATTTTGCTCCCCACTCTATCTCTGGTGAAGCCATTCACCGACCCTGCACCTCTGGTTTGTAACCCAGTTCTGTATGCATAAATAAATAAATCTTAAAACATAAATAAAAATTTGGCCTTTTAGATCTTAACTATATCTATTCATTTGCCAGATACTGTTTTTATTTTTCTCATATATAGTTCATTTTTTAACTTTTGAATAGCTTCTTTTCTCTGAAGATTAATATTGCTGAGGCAATGGATACCTTTTGATGGAGTGCTGAGGTGATGTGGTATATTTGAGGGAAAATCTAGAATAGTGAAAGTTGAAAGCCAAAGTTTTGTTTCTGAGACTTTGGGAAGCAGTGAGTCAAAACTGGTTACTCTTTGCTATCCTATCACTTTCTGTCATTTTATCTTGCCCAGAAAGGGGCTGTCTGAAGTAGGTTATGGGGACTGCAGAGAATGCCCGATAGTGTGTCGTGGTTTCTGCTCAAGAGCATGTGGTTAAAAAAACATGGTTTCTGCTCAAGAGCATGTGGTTAAAAAAACAAACAACAACAAGAGAAACACCATGGAAATACCCAGGGCTCATGCTCATGGGGAAATAGTCTTCCTTGTCTCTAGCTACCATAAATGGTTGCATACAGACTGGTATTGAGAAAAGAGATCTTTGGCCCTCCATGGTGGTACAAGAAGCTAAAGTGCAGTGCTGTGTCTACCAAGACACTGCAGCATGAATTCAATTTCCAGTCAGGGAGGTGATCCATATGGGGTTGCAGACCTCTCTTGTCCTCCCCTCTGCTCTCCTCAGCAATGTATTTTAGTCAGCCAGTCTGTTCTGCTCCCCACTCTGCCTCTGGTGATTCCTCTCACCACCTACCCTGCACCTCTGACATGTTCCCCAGTTCTTGTATGCATCAATAATAAATAAATCTTTACAAAGAAAGAAGGAAAGAAAGGAAAGGAAAGGAAAGGAAGGGAGGGAGGGAGGGAGAGAGAAGAAAGAGAAAGAAAAAGAAAAAAAAAATTCTACTGCCAGTTTGGAATCCTCCTATAAGTACTAGATATAATATTCTAGCATTCGCTTTTTTGTTACTTGACTGAGCAGTCAAATTGTATTTTTAAATAGATTTACTCTAAATTAGTAGATTCAAATAAAAAAGAGGAAACATTACAAAAAAAAAAAAAAGCCATGGCTGACCTGTTTCTCATTTGAGAGTTTAGATATGATACATTATTATTTTGTCACATATTTTGACATTTCTAAGAGGTTGTTAGGAGAAAGAAGTGTGTTTCTGTGTTTGTTGGTAACTTATTTTTAGAGGTGTGTGTTTTGGGTATATGGAATGAAAGATATTTCAAACAAATATTCTACATACAAATACACAATACCTGGGACCTGTTTGCTCTGATTCTTTATGTCCATTCTCAAAGTATCTTTCTTTAAAGATAGGAACCTAGGAAGATCAACTAAACAATATTTTTCTTTTTTATTTTCCTGCTTAAACATAAAAAATATGTTTATTATTGAATTTTTTATTATATTATGTTTTAAAATTTATTTGTTTGTTTGTTTATGGGGTGGTGGCTGGAAGTGCAGGGTGAGAGGGTTCACTAGAGATAGAGTGGGGAGAATAGGCCATCTGCTGATGTGAGCAGCAGGCAAGACAGGAGAGGTCTGCTGTGCTGTGTGGATTAGTTCCCTGGGAGGGGATCAAACTCATGTTGCAGTGGCTAGTCATATCTTGCTAGTGCTGAAACTTTAACCCCTTTGTCACCTGGGAGGCCCCTTTTGCATTATCTTACTGAAAAATCTCCATTGAAAAATCATGGTTTGGCTTATTGGTTTTCATAAGCCAGCTCCAGAGATTGGAGGAGGCTTGTCTTCTGATTTGCCTGATCTTTCTTCTGGGCAAGAAACATTTTGGGTTGGTTCTATCTCCTCTTTTCTACTTCTTTCTTAGGCTCCTCATAGATTGGATTTTCTCTGATAGCAGTACAGGCTTTTTTAGACATCTCTTCCATCATGCCTGGAGTTACATTGTTCTTTATATATCGCTTCATATAAATATCTTCATCTTCTTCTGTTAATTAACTCATGTAATTTGCAACACTCTGACCTGTGGTTTGCTTTTCTGATGTATTTCTGCATTGAATTCATTGCTTCCTAAATCATAGGCAGGAATTGTTTGATACTGTAAGGAATAGATAAACCTCCATCCACACCTCCATGCAGGGCCCCCAAACCTTTATATCCAGTGGTAGTTCTGGCAAGTTTTGATCCAAGTAGAACGTACCAGGTCAACCATCAATTCTTTCCACATTGTATTCATGCCAAGTCACTTCTACTTAGCCTTCATATCTATGCTATGAAACCTATTGTGAAGCCTGCAGGTCAGTGGAAGGCAAAATAATACACTGCAGTATGATTTGTCACGCCAGCCTTCACACCTTACTTTGGGAGTTCATGAACATAAGCTACACAAGCATTCATATCTACTATATGGGCATAAACAATGTGACAAATGATATCTGTATTGGTTACATGAACTATCTTCATGTATTAGTGTGTGTCATATTTATTTTTATCCTGTTTACTAGATTTTTTTCTTTCTTTTTTTTTTTTTACTAGCATAGTAATCAATTTTACTCTCTCTCCTAAATTTCACTCGGTATCTATCTGAAGTTGATCTTATTTTTGCCAGCTTTAACTAGTTCGCATCTGTAGAACAGACACCAGTATCTGACCTAACCACAAACCTATTAATTGTGCCAGCCCCCAATTATTCTTTTGTAATGACGTTTTTCTAACAGGATGATGTTTGACATGGATGTGTGTACATTCATAAATGCAAGTGCATGTTCATTGTTGACAGCATCCTCATAGTTTTTGTTCTGATGTGAATCGGGCAATCACTCAAGGCTATCAAAAGAAGGTAAATTAAACAAGACACTTCCATTGAGCACTAAATCTGAAACTCTTACAGAACTATATTGACATTTGTTAGATAACTTTTTTTTTTTTAAAGACTTATTTATTTATTCATACAGAACTGGGGTACAGGCCAGAGATGCGGAGGGTGAGAGGATTCACCAGAGACAGAGTGGGGTGCAGAACAGGCAGAGGGACGAAGTCCACTGCTGAGGGGAGCAGCGGGCGGGTCAGGAGAGGTCTGCCACGCCATGTGGTCTCCTCCGGGGGCAGGCGGGAATCGAACTCATGTGGAAGTGGCTTAAGCTTCTTTGTGCAGTGCCTTAACCCGCTGCGCCACCAGGGAGGGCCTAGATAACTTTTTTTTTAAAGATTTTTTTTTATTTATGCATACAGAACTACGGTATAGGCCAGAGGTATTTAGAGGATTTACCAGAGATAGAGTGGGGAGCAGAACAAACAGATCTACAATATACTGCTGAGAGGAGCAGTAGGGAAGACAGGAGGGATCTGCTGTGCCATGTGGGTCCCTTCCCTGGCTGGGGATCAAACTTTAACCTGTTGTGCCACCAGGGAAGGCCCTATTATATAGCTATTAATGTAAATCAGATTCCTACTGGTATTTTACATCACCTGAGAATGGCTGGACACACCATGAGAAAGAAATACACTGACTCCTTTTTATTTAGAAGCTCAGAGATAGTTACCATGGATGTTCTTTTGATTATACTAGATTGAGATGTTTGTGTGCATTTACTTAGAGGTTGATACTAGAAACTCATTTCTTATCAAAAAATCTTTCAAGAGTAGGTATTTTCTGGTATTGGATGATCTTTATTTTGCATCATATAAAATGTTGGTTGAGTTTTATTTTGAACAGAACATTTGGTTATAGTTTTTCAAAGCAAATTGCTGTTTCTAGTACCAAGTTATTACATTTTGCAGGCCATTTCTTATCTTGATACATTCTTTTGCCCTTAACGAACATTACTAAAGCACGAGAGTTAAAAAATCAAAATCTCATTTTAAGATCATATAAACAGTATTCTACAAAGAAATTCTTCTTGAATTATACTGACTAGTTGTCATGTGTAAATCTTTTGGAGATTTGTGAAATCTCTGTGGAAGACATTGTTATCACTATTGTTACTTTTTCCCTAGCAGTTTCTTAACTTCAATTGCATTCTTCAGGAAAATGTTTCTAAGATAAAGTATGAGGGATATATAAAAAATGTACTGTTCCTGAATTGCTATGATGGATAATTTGGACTCCTGATCCATCTTGATTCTACCATGGTCCATCTTCAGGGTATCTTTTTTTTTTTAAGATTTATTCATACAGAACTGGTGTACAGACCAGAAGTGTGGGGAGGCGGGTGAAAGAATTCACTGGAGACAGAGTGGGGATCAGAACAGGCAGATTGACAAAGTACACTGCTGAGGGGAGTAGCAGGCAGGTCAGAAGAGGTCTGCCACGCCATGTGGGTCAGCTCTCTGGCTGGGGATTGAACTTGTACTGATGTGGCTTTGGAGAACTTCATAGTGCAGTGCTTAACCCGTTGCGCCACTAGGTAGAATCTCAGGGTATCTTTTTTTAAATGATGATGTCATTCTTAAAATTCATAGTGACTAACTTTCAGACATCCACGTCATTCAGTTCTCTTAGGTTTAAGAGATATCATTGAACCCCTTTTGTGTTAGTGAAGTCTGAGTAACAAAGATGGTGATGATGAGAATTTAATAACAATTAATACATCCTTGATTCTTACTGTATGTGAAATGCTATTCTTCTAAACAGCTTTCTACTTGGATTAATTCACTTAACCCTGTACAACAATCTGTAAGGTACTATTATTATCATTGACTAGAGGGATAAAAATCTGTGAAGAGTCTGAAATTGACATGTTCTAAATAAAGGGGGATTCAGACTCAGTAACTGGCTCCAGAATCCAAGTTCATAACGTTGTTACAAATAAGCTATAATTTGGTTTTACATTACTCTCTTCCCCTACTTAAAGTTCATTGGAATAGCCATAAAGTACCAAACGTACTTTGCCTCTTTCAGCTCTGCCACACAAATCTAAAGTCCTGGTACTCAAACAGGGCACATCAGAATTACCTAGGGATTTTTCAGCACTACTGATGCTTGCATCTTAGAGATTCTGACAAATTGGTACATGCTAGCTAGCAGGAATTTTAAAAGCTCCTCTTGTCATCTAATATCTAATAAAGTTTTAGAACCATCAAGTTTTAGAAAATGAAATTGGTCTAGATACTAGCATACTTCTGAGGGGATGGAGAATGGAAGTCGTAGTGCCTGGAGCCTGGAGAATACAGGAATTAAAACTATCAAGCCAGTTTGCTTTTCTTCTTGTTACAAATTGTGAAGGCAAGTGAGAAATACTGAGTGCAAATGCTGGGGGTTGAAATTTATCTAGGGCTAAGTTGAGTATACTGTTCTTTTAACTTGTTATGGGAAAAGAATCAGGTAAATGTTAGTATTGCTTTAGTAATAGGTTCTTACATGGCCACTGAAAGTATGCAGGAAACTTTAGATAAAATGCTAAAAATGGGAATAGGATAGAGCCTTGCTTTAATGGTTGCCAGCTTATTGCTCCAATGAGAAGAGTAGCCTAACTTCACTAAACTGTTTAGGCAAATTGATACTTCTTTCAAATGTTTATAGTTTATCGTCTCAGAAGATTAATGCCAAATCCTCAAAAATGTTGTGACTAGTGATGACTCATTTTAGCTCATGTAAAAACAATGTGGTTTTGTAATTTTCTTGTCCCTGGATAAGCTATTAAACACTAAACAAAATGTCTCAGAATGAAACTGATTGTTTTATATTATGTAGTTTTGCTTGACTGTTTGCCATATATTTGTTGGGATAGCTCATTTGCCCGTCAACACCTGTGATTTTCTCCAACAATCATACTACATGGTTTGCACTGCTTAAATATCTGGTGTCTATTCTGAAGCTAAATAGTCAAATTTCAGTTTCTTTGCATAAACAATTTGCATAACTCTATTCTTAGCCACGTGATTTTTCTTTGTTAAACTGTGGGCAGGAAGTAACTAATAGATAAGTTATTTTTTTCTGCATTTCTCTCTCTCTCTCTTTTTTTTAAATGTGTGTACAGACCAGAGGTGCTGAGAGTGAAAGGATTCACCAGAGATAGAGTAGGGAGCAGAACATGCAAATCAATGAATTATACTACTGAGTGGAGCAACAGGTGAGCCAGGAGAGTTCTGTTGTGCCATACAGATCACCTCCAGGAGTGGGGATTGAATTTACGCTGAAGCGGCTGCTGCCAGCCTTCAGTGCTGAGCCTTAACTGTTACGCCACCAAGGAGGGCCTATTTTTTTTCTGCATTCTCTTGTTGATAGGTAGCATAGATTCAAAGAAGCATTACATATGTGAGTGTGTATGCATGTGTCTGCACACACACACATATATAAAACTTGTATATATACAAGAGATAAGATATGACAGTTTATACTGAAATAAATATTTGTTTGCATATCTTATCTCTTGTAGAGTGCAGCATAATGTTTTGAATGAAGCAGACATAAAATATGTGTTGGTGATAATAATTCTAATAAACAGTGGTATTGTTAATTTTTTGTGATCTTTTTGTCAGTACTTTATGAGGTCTTATAAAAATTATACTTTAGCTATATTTCATTTTTTAGGATAAAAATATTTAAATAATTGGTTTGGTTTCACTGACCTCCCAAGAATGAGGTTATTTACAGTTGTTACATTAGACATTTTTTAAGACTTCTATCTGTTTAATTAATTCGTACTATTACTGAGAAGACATTCTTAGTAACATGTACACTTTTTGAGTAGGCTTCTGACAGTCAAAATGTGAGTTTATTCATGATAACTTGTATCATACCCAGCACTTAAGAGAGGTGAGCACACAATTTATATTTGTTGATTGCACATAAATTACACTCATACTCAAGGCAACAAGAATCAATTTCTTCAAATGCAGTTGTTTGAGAGGATGTGGGGAAAGGTAGTGAAGATTAAATACCTGCAGAGTGATACTATAACATGTAAGAGATTGTCACATCTAAGGAAGTTATCCTCATGCATAAGGGTATCTAGCAATCAGCCCATTCTAAGATGGAAAATGATATAGAGTGGTAATTCAAGCTGCATCTGCAAACTATAGTTGATCCAAGAAAGAAAGCTTCAATTCAGTTGTTTCTATTAGACATTGAATAATCTAAAAAGGTTAACAGATTGACAAAGTGCTTGTCAAGAAAATTCACTCTTTTTGGATTAAAAGTGTAGAATATTCATGTGTTTTCTGACTTTCTAGTTACTTGTTTTAAAATATTTGGAAATTTCACACAAATACAAACAGAATAGTAATGAGGTGAATTCTGTGTGAAGATAGTTTAAAATTTAAATTGTATGTTGCAGAGAAAGTGGGAAAAAGAAGTAAATAAAATCCTAAGCATTGTAACAGAACAAATAAGTTCTTGTTCTCCAAAACCTAGAACTGTTAGAATCTAAATCTTGATGGAATTGCCTTTACACAAAGAGCAGAGGTGAACTTTGAAGTTACACTGCCTCATAGTTAGAATATAGACATAGATCAGACTTCTGGGTTCAGTTCAACCCCTACTCCTGCAACCC